ATATATTTTGTATATAGAATATAATACGATAATTTGAAATAATTGATATCCGATTAAAAAATATATATATATTATATAAATTTAAACAAATAATGATATATATTATTTGATAGATATTAAATAATATATAAATATAATTAAAATATTTTAATTAATGAATTATATTAATAATATTTGAAATATATAGTTTAATATAATTAAATATTTTTAATATAATTTATTCGGATATTCTTTTGAATATTATTCCCGATAAAATATCTAATAGATGATTTTGCATATTCATATCTTTTGATATTTGTTTTATTATTCTATATTGAAATATTTTTATATTTTCTTTCTAGCATATATTCTAATAATTTTTCTATAATATCTTCTGGGATTCTTTGGCATCTCTTCTGATATTCTTGTTGGCATATCTTCTGATAATCTTTCTTCTAGCATATCTTCTAATATTCTTTCTGGCATATCTTCTAATATTCTTTTCTGGCATATCTTCTGATATTCTTTCTATCATTCTTTCTTGCATCTCTTTTGATATTTATTCTGACACTCTTTCTGATATTCTATCGGGCATATCTTCTGACATTCTTTCTGACGTTCTAGCTGGCATATCTTCTGCATATCTTCTGATATTCCGGAGCTGGCGGTTGAGGTCCGGTGGGTAACACGGCCATCCGGAGCTGGCGGTTGAGGTCCGGCGTGGAACATTGCCATCCGGAGCTGGCGGTTGAGGTCCGGCGGAGAACACTGCCATCCAGAATTGGCGATTGAGGAATAGGAGGCGGAAGACAAGGCAGACGAGGAGGAGGATGGCAATTGATATAGATCTAATATTTCTTCCCTGATAGGTGGGGAATAAAAATATATATTTAATAATTCAATTATAATCCATTTTCCAGGTAATTTGAATATATGGAATTCGATTTTGAAATTTAATCACGGATTTGAAATCGTGGGCAATAAAGGTGTCAAGAATCGATTATATCAACCCAACATTGTGAAGTTAGCAAGAAATTACTATCTATTTTAAATCCTCCGATTTGAAATAATTTATGCATTGGATCATACTAATTTATATCGTTTTGCAATCCTGATTCAAGACCTCTAATCAATTTCCATCAATTCAACCGGATATACGCTATTTCTAGCACGATCCAAAATACAACTATTTTCTTTATATCACTGGCCATGGCAAAAGTGACTGACGCAAGTGCCAGGCAGTTCTTAAAGGCGAACGGACCAAGTTGCTCTCCTTCCTCCGACTGCTCCTGATTGTCTGCCCCTCCCACTGGTACCGGTTACGCATACATAGGCGAAGGTTCCCTTGGGCCTGTGATGCTTGAATCAGCATCCGACTCTCCAGAATGAGTTGTGGTGGGGTGCCTAGTTTCACTAAGATCAATCCAAAAAGCGAATAAAATTTTATCTGGGGCAAGGATAGGAATAATAAATTCTTTTCTTTTCTTTTCTTTTCTTTCTAAATATTTTTCATTAGGAAATCTTAATTTTAACACCTACATCAATAAATCTTTAAATTATAAATCCAAATTAATTAAATTCAACCAAGATTATCAATATCAAATTAAAAGTCATTACAAATATTATTATTTATATTTAGATAAATTTATACATTATATATATATATATTAATTCTATATATACAAATATATTTTATATATTCGAATATTGTAATTCCTTATATATATATTTTAAATTATTCAAATTAAATATATAAATTCAAAATATTTATATATATATTTTTTCAATCAATATATATATATACGGCAATCCATCCCTGGCTGATCGGGCTACAAATAACAAGTAGTTATCTACTACTTGAAAATCAGCTTGCCTGTAGGCCTGCAAAACTAGCCATATAGATCTATGTACAAAATGTATGATTAAAAAATCACTACTAGATCTACTTGTACAGCAAGTTTACCAGCAAGGAAAACCTTCTTGGAAGGGAAAAACCTTGCACAAGAAATGAAATATGTCGAAACATGCGTATGATACAGCCACAAAAAAAGGGGCGCAAACCCTTCTTGGAAGGATGCACTCAGAGGAAGGCCAAGGTGAGGCGGTCAAAAGGAGCGGAGCCAAAAGCAAATGCGGTAGAGTCAGGGCGACAAGAACGTCCAATAGGCGAACAATACCAAATGCAAGAGTGATTCGTGCAACATCCAAAGCATAGGCAGAGGACAAGCTGCTGCTGAGGTTGGCCTACCACGGGTATACAAGCATCCGTGGTCACCGGTTCGGTGGAGACAAACTTGTGAATCAAGGATCCAGCACCAATCCAGCGACAAGGCCGGAAGCGTGCGCTGTCGCACCGGCTGCGCGACGCCGGCGTCGCAGCGCACGTCCTGCCCCTCGAGCCAGCACAACAGCAAGCTGGTCAAAGAGGCGGGCCTTCACCACAAGCAAATCAACCCCTTCAACTGCAGCAACCATGCCAGCAAGGCGGTGAAGGAAGGCTCGAGTTTCGGCCGTGCTGCCGCCCTAAATGTCCCAGACCAAGGGCAGGTAAAGGATGCCAGCTTGTTGGCACGAGCTGGCGGTGCCGAGGTGGTCACGCTTGCGTTGGGCATAGGCCGTGACTGCATCATGGGCTCCCCGCAAAGTGTCGTCCCAATGACTCGCTCCCAAGGCGTTGATGATAGCCACATCCAAGGCTAGAGCACTAGGCCCAGCAGGGCGGGAGCCATCAGGCAGTGCTGGAAGGAGACCAGTTGCACCTCGTAAGAAGATGTCTGTTGGCCGCCGCCGTGCATCCAAGAGTCCAGGAGCCTCGGCTTGGGGGCGGAGCTGGGCACGAGCACAATAGCCGTGCAAGAGGTCCCGCAGACTATTGTGAAGCGCAACAGCATCACCACCAGCCATACACGACTGTGGGTGGCGCCCCTTCACATCAATTGCCAAACCACAAAAACGGCAAGCACCGCCCCCAATGCATATATCGACGCCAAGGCGACCACCTACACAAGTCAGGAAGTCATCCTTGGAGAGGTTGGTGTTAAGTATGCGCGACGGGACCAGGTTCAAGACCGTGTCCGCAGAATCAGCAGCACAAGCATGAAGGCGACAAATATCATCGGTGCCAGCGGCAGTCTTCCAAGCCAAGACATGGACCTCCCGCAGGCGGCGTGAAATCGCTGACTGGCTCAAATTGCGCTCTGGCTGATCCCCGAAACAGGGTTGGAGATCAGCTTGTTGCAGCAGCCCGTTACAGCGAGCAAGAGCGAGGCTGTTGCTGCAGCAGAGCCTTCCCAAGCAGCAGGCGTCCATAAGGCATGACAACGATCCAGAACCATGACTCGAGAGCCAATGTAAGCAACATCCGCAAGGTCAACCGCAGAGCGAAGTCCGAGACCACCAATAGCAACAGGTAGCTGAGCTTGTTGCCAGGCCAGGCGGTCCAATGCCAAGCCAGTGGAAGCGCAAAACCCATGCAACGCCGAGTCAAAGGCCACCATGGCCGGAAGACAATGCTGAATTGGAGTGGTGCGAGCCAAATAATTCATCCGGCCACCAGTGCAACACCACCGCAACAAATAATAGGCAACCTGAGGGTCTTCGATTCCACCAACCAACTGCATTGTAGTGGCTTGCTGGGCGGCTCGCTGCAAACAATACGCCTTATTGAACAGGTGATTTGAGGACTTCAAAGTTGCCATCCTCGTAAGTAGAATAACCCCAGGCAGCAAAAGGCCGAAAGTCAACCTGGTGGCGGATCCCAGCAACTGGCGCAACAGAAGCAGTGGACAAGCGAAGGCCAAGACGAGGCATAACAGTGGACCAATGCTGTAGGGCCCGCAATACCTCAGCAGAAGGCCCGGCCAAAAGACCGTCATCCGCATAACAGGGCGCCATGTCTAATTGCGCAGGTGGCTGCAGCGTGGGTAACGCCACAGCAGTGCCAGCAGGCGGGATAGCCAATCCCAGACTCTCCAACAAGAATCGCTGCACAACCGCATGGCATGCCGTCATCAAAGGACACCCCTGTTGGCCGCCTGCAACAGAAGGGATCACAACGTCCTGAAAGAAGACCTTGGTGTTAATATCGAAAGGATAAATATATTCCAATCATCGGGAAAGACCAGGGGCGACTTCTTGCATGCGCGTCAAAAACATATGCCGATCAACCACATTATGGGTATTCCCTTCATCATAAGACAGGCAAACTCGGTCGGTGTCGGCTTGGTGGTGTTGCCGCCATTGCCGGTATAAGTGCGGCATAACCTCGGCCCCAGCCGGCACTCCAACGGCCGGCTGGTGGGACAAGAGGTGTGCCCGCAGGGCAGGGAGCTCACTCCGCAGTAAGACCTTGCCGACCAGGCGCAAGGTTTCTCCTGCACACAAAGGCCGCGCATCAGCAGCTCCAATTTTGCTCAGCTTTTCCAAAGCTGTGCCACGAGCCCCACCGAGGTAAGGACGCAACGCGATGGGGGCCCGTCCATCAGCCCATCATCAAGGAGGTTGACCAAGTCTATAAGGACCTGGGCTCCGTGTTGCTCATCCCCAGCATCAACAAGTTGCTTGAGGAAGTCCGGTCGCATGCCAGAGGGACCGGGCGCAGCACCACGTGGGAAGGAACGCACGGCCTTCACAACATCATCACAGCTTATGTCGTTGGCAGGCGGTGCTGCCGCACGCTGTGTAATGGCCTGATGGGCCGGGCGAACAGGGAATTTGGCTTGCATGGCGGCAACAATGGCCGGAGTGATGGCAGCAATTGGAACCCCGGCGGTGCAAGGCCACCAGGGCTCAACCCAAGCATCCGTCGTGTTGTGCTATAAGACCTATACGATGCATCGGAGAAACTCTTTCTGCGCAGAGGGAAGAAGAGCAGAATTAATTAAATTACGAGTGCCAATCGGAGCCGAAAACATATCATCCAATAAAGGAAAGCTGCCAAGCACTGTGTCCAAGTCTATATCCAAACAAGCACCAGAGAAAGACAAAGATTAAGGGCGCGCAGCTAGGCGATCCACAACACAAGTACGGTGAACTCCACCATTACAACGGCGACTCACCAGTTTAAACCACTCGCGGCAAAAGACCATATTCCGTGCCCTCAACCACTCTATTAAAATTGCCCCTAGAATCTAGCCAAAGATGCGGACATCATTGCCTTATAATTCCCGCCCTACTAGGCTTAAATATAGCTATCATCAACGCCTTAGGAACGAGTCATTAAAATAACACTTTACGAGAAATCTATAATACAATCACGGCCTATATCCAATAGATATATATATATATATTTATTTGGTTTATATAAAATATTCATATTTTTCTTAATAAAATTTAGATATAAAAAAAATAAAAATTCAATTAATTATATATTAAAATATATTATCTTGCAATATTTTAATTTTCTTTCTAATATATCTTTTAAATATTTTTTAAATTAAGATTCTTTAATATATTATTCTAACATATTTACTAATGTTCTTTCTAATAAACCTTCTAATATTCTATATGTTTTTTCTTATATTTCTTTTGACATTCTTTTTAATGTTCTATTTGGCATATCTTTTATATATCATTTTTTTTTTCTAGCATATTTTCTGCACATTCTTTCTATCATTCTTTCTTGCATCTCTTTTGACATTTGTTCTGACATTCTTTCTGGCATTCTCTCGGTCATATCTTCTGACATTCTTTCTGACGTTCTATCTGGCATATCTTCTGACTCGCGGTTATGGTCCGGCAGGAACACTGGCACGCGACCCTCGCCGTTGAGGTCCGGCGGGGAACCCTGCCATCCATCCGGAGCTAGCGGTTGAGGTCCGGCGGGGAACACTGCCATCCGGAGCTGGCGGTTGAGGAGCAGAAGGCGGAGGACGAGGAGGACGAGGAGGAGGACGGCAGCTGACATAAATCTAACAACCCTCACCTGACAGGTGGGGGATAAGAATATGTATATAGTAATATATATATATATATAGTAATTAAAGTATAATTTGTTTTCCACGTAATTTGGATATATGGAACTCGGTTCTGAAGTTTGATCGCGGATTTGAAATCGCCGCAGTAAAGCCCTCAGGGATCGATTACATCAAACCAAAGTTGTGAAGTTAGCAGGAAGTTGCTATCTGTGTCGAATCCTCCAGCTTGGAATAGCTCATGCGCTGTGTCATGCTGATTTATGTCGATTTGCAGTCCTGACTCAAGATCTCTGATCAGCTTCCATCAGTTCAGCCGGGTGTACGGTGTTTCATCAGGTAGTGCCTGGCCAAATTAACGGGCATCCACTCATGACTGGCTCACATGGTCGACCAAAACATCAAAGAAATGCTAGATTGCAAGAATCGATCAGAATGCAAGTAAGTATTCACATCTATGAAGATCTACACAGGCCTTACAGATTGTCACCTGCAGAAAAGTCTCGCCTTGATCCTTAGGTGGTTAGCAGTTGGGTTTGTCCCCTTTTTGTTCCTTGCATATGCCGGGACTTGTCTGGCATGGCCTTGAGCGACCTGGAATAGCCGTGATTTTCGAAGGTGGACAAGGCCCGTCGAGACTTTACACCGCATATTCTACAGGTGTCGGGCCGAGGTCGGGCAAGTGTGTCATCTGAACGGTGAACGCATGATGAAGTGATGCTCACCCTTCGTCAGTGGGTATAGTTTGGAAGCAGGGGCAAGTGATCTTGGATAATCAAAAGCTCAAACAGGGAAGGGATGTGTTTCATCCCAGCACCTCTTCCCATTCACAAACCATATTCTTCTGAAGCCTTCATCCCTTGACAATCACGGCTGACAGATCTTTCGACACCTCTGCTGGGTGTGGCCCAAAATGCAAAAGCTGTAAATACTACACATCTTCAAAGCCCGCGGTGGTCGCCAGGGGCTTTGAACCCCAGTTCCAGCCAGGTCCGTGTCTTGCGCACAAAAACCCGGGCTGATCTGAATTCTGAGCATCCCAAGTGATGCCCGACAGGTGGCCTGTGCCCAAAATAGCTGCCATCTGTTGTAAATGTGCACAGTTCGGTCAGTAGATTGGGTCAATCAAATCCGTTATACAAGACGTTACAAGAGAGTCCCTAAATAACAAAAACGGATGCACAGTCGTTTACAGTAAAAATGGCCTTTCGGGGTGAAGATCCAGCTTTCACCACGCGCGAGACGCGCATTGGTGACTTCGAAATCTCATCGATACCTGCGGAGGTCTGCTCTGAAAAAGAGTGTACAGTGTTCATATATATTATATATATAATTGTATATATATATATATGGCAGGCAACCTCCTGCTGCTCACCCGATGGACCCTCTCTAGTTTTCTGCTGCAGTGACGCTGATTTCCTGAAACCCTTCGAGAGACGAAGGGCTGCTAAGTCACTACGGGGTGAATGGTTTACCACTTTGGAGATCAAATCCAAGCACAAAAACATGCGACAAGCCTAGGCCAATGCGACGGTATGTGTTTACCATGCTGCTTCTTCGTGAGTTTGTGCGTATGATCACGCCCTTGAGGCATAAATGTCATCATATGTGCCGCTCAGGGATGCTTCAAAAACCGGCACACAGAGCAGTTTAGATGGCTTGTTGTCCACATGCAACATGGCGTGATCCATTGGCACAACCTGCTGTGCATCTTGAGACATTAAACCACTTGATTGCCTGACGAAGAGTAGATGAGCCTCGAAGTGGCCGATCAAATCTCTCCAGGTTCACCTCAAGCGTTGTTTAGCAGTGAAATCACCGGCACCTGCGTTGCTCCCCACGTCAACGACATTTGGGTGGGAATACATTGGCCCATGGGAGAGGGCCTCGCTAATAGAAAACAGATGTATGTAAGGATCCTCAAGGGTGGTTTATTGTAAGAGCTGCGAGTGTGTATCTTAGGTTGGGTTCTGAGAAGTTGGCAAAGACATTGCCGTGCTGTTTCAAGCTTTGGCTGGCAGACTTTAGACCCTTTTGAGTCCCAGCTGGTGCTTGAGATGTTGAGATCTCAGTCTTGAATATAATCCAAAAACCAAAGCAACAGGTGTCTACAAAGCCTTACACTACATCTCAGGAAAGCGTCATCAAACACCTCGGAATACCCCTGGTCCCCCGCTTTCCCGGTGGAAGGACGGGTCACTGGCTCCTGCAGTTGCTGCATCGCCTTCAGCTGCCGCAGTGTCCACAGGCGACTGCGGCACGCTGGGTGCGACTTCGGCCTGGGCGATGGCTCGATTTGGGGTTCTCCATGAGGGCGAGGGTCAAAACCAAGGCCCACCCAGACGTTTTTTTCAGGGCGTTCTCGCGCGGCACAACTTATATACAAACATGTAACATCCAAGCAAAACATGCACTCAAATGCACAAAAGCGGAATGAATGAACACCGCGGATGACATCTCACCCGTGGTAGGGACGTCATGGCTTTGACCGACATCATGCCTGAAGCGTGACAATGAAAACTTCTTTCAGAGTTGTTAACCCTACTACTGACTTCGCAAAGTGGATTACTGGAGCCTTGAGCGTGAAACATCAAGAAAATCCTTTCAATGTGCCTTCATGCCTTCATGTGCCTTCGGGTTGTTTACACCGTTTTCATGTTTACATGACATGGAGTCTGTCAAGCAAGCTTTCGATACAAGGCCTAGGTTTATATAGTTGTGATCCAGTGCGCTCGAGTCTGGAGTCAAACAGAAGAGACACAACACTATGCAGACAAAATGGCACCTTTTAACCCAACATTGGCTTTACCAACATCACAAGCACACCCACTCCAATCTACTGCTCTCATCCACCCCATCACTATGCTGCTGCTATGATCACTAGCTTCTCTCACCATTGGCTGATGTAGTTCCAAACTCCTCTGGACACTTCTCCTAATCGTCTCTGTAAGAACTTGTCAGGTTCGTTTCCAGAGGGAATTTGGGAGGGTCCACATGTAGCAAATCGGGGTACGCGCGTATTGCAAATGGGTCGTCTCAACTTGGGACGCCTCCGACCAATGGGTGGGAGGCTATCGCTAGTAAGGTTGGAGGCCAATGCCATCGCTAGTAGGTTGGAGGCAATCGCTATTAGGCTAGGTCAGCTAACGTTTATATACAGTAAACCTTTTGTGATTACGTTGCCCGGCGTGCAGATCTCACTGATGTCCATGCCTCGCTGGAACCGCTGGCAGGCTCCTGAAGCGGCTCCTCGGCTGGTCCTGGAAGCTGAAAGCCAAGCATGGTCATATCAATCCAATGGTCGACTGCCCCGAAACACATTACAGTAAGAATGTTGATCGACGCACTTCCAACTCGTCAGCCTGTCGATACTGACAATTAGAAGACGGATCAAGACGGTGTGGTACGGATCGTGACGGGCGAGGCACAGTGCTCTAACAAGGAAGTGCACCTGCAGGCTTAGCAGGAGCCTGATCAGCATAGCCTTGGAAGAGAGGTAGAGACACAAAAGACATGCACCCCTCGCTCTCTGACCAAGTGATCCAAGTGCAAGAAAATGAGCCCTAATCTAGCCGGGCCTAGCATGAGGCTAGCACCAGCACCAACAGTAGAAATGACCTGCTTTACTTTTACTTGCATGACCCTGCCGACAAAACATCTGAACAAATGTTTCAATCTATAGATTCCAAAGACTTGGTCGTCGTATTTCGTTGCGTATATCATATAATATATGTGCATAATACCCGTAACAACTAAAGCTAAAGGTAGATCATGTGGGGGTGAACACATGAATTTCTAGATTCTCATGAATTCCTAAGTTGCTTGCCTAGTTGGTCTAGTTGGGTCCCACCAAGTTGCTCCCACCGCTGCAGCAGTCCAAGACCACACCCTCGGAGGTCGGACAGCAAGCTCCTCGGAGTCGACCGGCACAAGATGGGACCTAATCGCGATGGCCTCCATGTCCCCAAAAGAGGGACCAAATTGGACCAACCTTAGAGGAAACCATGATGAAACCATCGTCCGACTCTGGAAGGGAGCTTGCTTTGTTTCTGTTTAAAGCCCACTTGATCCCAATTGCATCAAAACCTGTGGTGTTTGATTAGCGATCCAAAAGGTTTTCTTGGACTCAATCGAAGCAATGGGATGCCAGCAAGGAGTGTTTACGTCAGTGATGACAGGATACTGTTTCCGCTAATGGTCTTAAGGGGGGGCATCTGCGGTCCTGACTTCAGCTGCAAATCTACGCAGTCTGGGTAGATCTCACACTGCGCCCCTGAGGATGTCGCTGCTTCAAGGCAAAAGAAGGCAGCTCATGCCATAAACACACAAGAATCTTGAAACTTCCTATACTAAGGTTTCTATTACAAAGTCTGGATGCGTGTCTTCAAAGCCAGCTGTAAGGAATGTCTTCAAGAAATCACTGGAAGAAGTCTTTGAGAATGTCCTGTCCCCGACGGTGATTGGCCTGCGGGGATCGGCGCTGGCTTGGGCAGCATGGCACTGTAACAGCAATCCAACATGGTGCCCTGACTGCAAACGGTCAGTTCGGTTGCCGTGACTCTTGAGGACTCCTCTTGGCTAAGGTTCCTACGTAGCAACCCAACTACTCCAAAAACTGTTCCACCAGCTTTGAGGGTTTCTTGCTTTGCATCGCACGCAGCCTCCTTGGAAGGGCAGCAGGCGCCCTCCTTCAAGCCAGCCGCTGCACACTTGGCATAGGCTGAGCAGGAGGTCGGGTGCTCCTGGGAAAGAGTGCCGGGTCTTCCAAGATACGACCCAAAGCAGTCAAAAGCACCTATGATGCAAATCGGTGGTCCTCTGGGTCTTTCTGTCTTTCTTTGCCAAATGTACACACCAATTGGCTTCACATATGATCATATTATTCACAGATAGGTATTGTGGCCCAAGTAAGCTGTGGATATGGGACGTTGTACAATGGATGTGTGTTGAGATAGGAAGCTACGTATATGCCTGGATGATCAAATTCATGAAAACAGGCAGCGGCCCGTTTGGAGATGGCTAACTTAATTGTGAGGGAAGAACTTAAGTGTTGATTCTGCTAGCGTGCTTGCCATGCCACGTGACATTATACATTTGGGTGGCACTAGCTAGCTCAGCTCAATCATTGTCAAGGAGGACGAAGGAGCTTACCATAGCTCACCAGGTTCTGGGGGTCACACTTTTCTTGTAATTCTCATGCGCACCTGAACCAATTACCAGGGCTATCGTGAGTTTGATTACTTTACACATTGATGGAACCACCGAACTCTGAAGAATGGCTTTCGAATCAGGCTTCGGTCCTGACAACAGTCTAGCTTGGAACCCGGAGTGCAACAAGTGCCTCACGGGCGAAAGCTTTGTGCACGTGGAATTGGACAGCAGGCACATATCAGGCACGTCTCCAAGGACAAACACCTGTGAATTGAACACTGAGTCAGTTGCTATCTTGAGTTTTGTTTGGTCCAATTCAAGCACTTGAACAAAGAAGAACTCAAACACCGACCCAAAAATGTCATGACATGTAGAACCTGCTTTTGCCGGAAAGTTGGAAGCCAAGCAGTCTCAACATCCTCATCCCTCAATTCAAGACGCTGCACATGCTGCCCAACTTGCGTCTTTCATGTACAAACACAATCATACAAAACCAATAGGATCTTCATTTGAGGAGATTGGTTGAACAAAGCATAACAAAGCTGGTTTCATGGTGGGTTGTTTTACAATCATCCGAATCGGGCCTTCAGTGTGGCCCTCTTCCACGCAGGCACTGTACGCGCTGCAAGCAGTTGGGCCTTCCTGGTTTGGGCTGGTCGATTTAGCAGGTATTAGGGGTATCAAATCCGTGACCGCCCTTCCCAGATTGTAAAGCAAAATGACAAACAACGGAAAGCACGCATAACACTGCGCTTGCGAATACCAAGATGCATCAAGCCTTGTGGCAAACAGAAACAAGGATAAACAAGGTGCACTGACGAACAAGTGCTGCAGAAAACTGGAGTTCCGCCAGATCCGCCTCCAAACCCAACCCATCTCTACAACTCAAGTCAAAATGAGGCGCCTCACAGCAGTCCAACATCTTTCCATCGCGACCTCGCTGAGGCTCGCACGGCTGGCCCCGTCAGCCCAGGGGAGCCGTTAGCGGAAGAACATCAAAGCGCATAAGCACATGCTCTACTACCCTGTACTTCCAATCTGACACGTGTTCGTGTGGCACATGTTCGGTCAAAACTAGATCAAAAGAACAAGCATAGCCATAATAGGAACTTTTAAGAGAAGCATCGAAACACAATTAAACACACAGTAAGTCACGCATCTGACATACATCATCTGTTGACAAACGTCCCAAAACCACTTGCTCCAACATCTCCGCAGCGGGGGTCGCCCCTTTTCGCCTGTGGAAGGGCAGCACGTTCCGCTGGTCAAGCCCAGCGCCACACATTTGGGATATGCGGAGCAGGAAGCCTGGTCTGCGGATGGGCGAACCGCTGGAAACGAAGAAACGGAGAAGGATCTTCGTGGGGTTGGTGCAATATGTACAATGATCTATGCAGTCGTGAAACTGACAAATTGGTCGATGCAGTGGTCGATGTCACAAGAACCACAAAAAACAAAAGTGATCACGATGACTCTGGGTTTGCATAATATGTATTCATTCAGACGGGCACCAGCTGGCCTGTGCCTGCAAATGATTGTATTGTTGTTTGTTTCAATGTGCTTCCACTTCTAGTGATAGTGATTCTAGTTAGTCAACACCAAATACACTGTGTGAATCTCAATCTACGTGAGATGACTCGACTGAGATAAATGTTTGTGTCAAGCGTAGGCAGCAAGCCCACCTCAAGAGCCAAAGTAGCAATGTGTCTGTAGCAATCATGGCCATCCAAAGTTCCAAAGAAACGGACAGCATCTTCACAGAGACAAGCGTCGACCACTAGACTCATGGTGCTCGCATTCGTAGCATTGAGCTTTCGGCCCTCCTATCAGAAGGTCGGTCCGCAAGTCAGTCGAGGTTGCATCAAGGGGAGGATAGACCCTTCAAAATATGAACATGTCAGTCCTTCCATGTCAGTCGAAGTTGCATCATGGTTCATTCCCGTCGTGATGAACATGTGGAAAGACCCAAAACAAGTGCTGGTCGGCCGCGTCAAGCAGTCAGCCTTTCACCCAAGCATGTCTGGCAGCACGCATGTCACGATCACCGAAGCCATATTGTATTGATTGCCAGCAAGAGCTGCAAGATGCTGGCTGTACTACTGGCGGTGTAATTGCATGTGCTGCAATGATCCACAATTGCTTTGTAGATCTTGATGATCTAGAGCGTATCCCCTTTCAGCTTCATTCCAAAGTAGCGCTCAGTCAAATGAGTCAGAGAGGATCATTCAGGGGAAGTGGTGCTGACCATTTCCGTGTCAAATCAACATTTAATAAGTTTTTTCTCAGTGAAACTTGACTGGACACTTTTGGGAACGCATTGCAACACTTTTGGGAAAAAGAACTGATGCAAAACACTTCAAACCAGCCTCTCGGATCCCAGGACTTTCCCGCCTGGAAAATCATAGAAGATATGGAACGGTCCACAATACCACCTTTCCCCGTTCCCGTCCTTGCCCAAGAAGTGGCTGCTGCCCAGCGCGGTGGCGACGCTTGAAGCCCACAGCAGACGGAACATTGCCTGGGGGAAGATCAGGTTTGCTCTGCTAGATTTCTCACGGTCACAACTCCTAACATGATATGCGAGCGACGACTTTTGTTTAATATGACTGAAGGTAGTGGTCGCATTTCCCTACTAATTATCTTGTTAAAACGAAATTGATATTGCTGCTTGTCTGGATCTTGCTGTCCAAGCATTTCTACCTTTTGATATTGTTTGGATGCATGCAGCAGCGTACTACCTCGTTCTATAGCTTACCCATACCTCGTTCAGCGGGGCCACGATGTCTTGGGAAAAGAATGCGGCCACCTCTGTCGGTAGATCCGCCCACACCGCTTGCGGTGCAGGGCGTGTTAGGGGCGGGTCCAGCTGGAATCATCGTCAGTCAATCATCACATCGTAATCAGTTCATAGCTCTGCTAGGGGGGGGGCCCTCTTTTTTGTTACGTCTTACGCCTCGAGGGCCATGGGGGAGAGCGCTTTGGAGGTACATTTTTGGACTATTTCTGCAAGAACCCAAACAAGCCAAAAAACGGACACCCACGATGCTGAAAAGCCCTCCTGACCAGCAACGCATAACCAGCATTATTGCAAAAGAACAAAGTAGCCTCAACACAGGGTCACCAAACGATCAAGCTAGCCTTGACATGATGTAATGTGGACTAACCAAGCGGGGGCAAGGCCGCAAAACGGTCGAACTTGGAGCCTGAATTGGCTTTAACATGGCCACGTAACTCAGCCGCAACATGGCCATAGACGCTGCGGCAAACAAGCCATCTCTTTGGACACCACTCCCGACCTCCCCTGTCCACTCCAGCAGTCTTTCCCCAGACGACCAAAAAAAAGAAGGTGTGGGCGGCGGTCGACGCGAAGCGTCAGGAATATATGATGCGGTTGCTCATGTGGAGGATGTACAAACCCTGGAGATTGCAAAAAGCCCAATGAATGAAAACTGGATGGCCATCTTAACCTAGAACCATGTGTTTGGACCATGAGACAATTAAGCCTGCCACAGAGGCCCATCGAAGTGTCCAAACAGTCGAAACCCTCTAAGATATCTTGAAGGAGGTTCAGTCTTACAATTATGTCTTTGATATTATGTCTTTCATTCTGTTCAGGTTCACTTCGTGGCCTACATCTTGTCGAGCTGAGGGAACGAATGAACACGTTGTTATCGTTTTGAGGGTCAGCAAAACGACATGTTTAGAGTTTAGAGTTTCCACTGTACCCAGGGTAAAGGAAACTCCATTTCTATCATCGGGCAGTAACAGAGTCGCTGTAAAGTTGAGCGATGTTGAAAGGGTTCGTCATGTTGAGTTGAGAATCGATGTGGAGGTACGAACCACGAGCATTGTGTGGCTGAGAGACAAAAACAATGTTGCTGGAGATTTACATGCATTCAAGGACTATCTGGGGACAGTTGGCTTCGTCAAAAGAGATTGTGCGTGTGTGTGTGTGTGTGTGTGTTTCAAGTTTGGACCATTTAGATACCATTAGTAGATGTCTATAGTCTATAGATGACATGATCTGACTGAGCCCAAAGCAGCCAAACATACGAGTAGTCTCATCTGCCAAAGCGTTCAAGCTATTGTTAGCCACAAGTTCTTGGATGTGTTTGGCCCCGTCAACATCATAGGTCCCCTTCTTTTGACCTCACCTCCCCTGATTTTGCATGTCCATCGGCTGGCAAATCCACGAAAGAACTCGTGTGATTTCCGCCCCTTCCCTGGTCTTGATGGAAACTGAGAGAAATTGCTAATGCAAAAGGTCATCTTCTTCACAACTCAGCGGAATAATTAGCAGGTTTCATTGTGCCTGATGTCTGGACAGAAACACAAACTGTCCCCATACTTGTCCCCTTGGTCACACTACCCACCCTGCCTCTGGAGCTGCGCGTCAAACAGCAGTAGTCACAGTGCGCGAGCTGAGAGTTCGAGCGCAGCCAAGGTGCGAATGCTTCTGAAATATGCAGCCCCTCCCGATGTCGAATCTCAAACATGGAAACTCCCCGCAGATGACCTAGTGAATGAATGTGAATCCCTTGAGATGAAGACACGGTTGTGGGACATGGGGGACAGTTGTACGATAGTAGAGGTCAAAAAAGACTGGGCTGATTCGTAGCACAGGAGAACCACATAGTCAATGATATACTTCAAATCTGCCGATTGTTTGTCACTTGCTGTGTCTAGATTCTGTTGCGTCCAGCAGTCGTAAAGACTGACGGATCTCCATCTTCCCCAGTGGCATCGAGACGCGAGGTTGGCCAGTCCGCTACATACAGGGCTCAGCCGGGCTGGGCATGTTTGACCACCCCGGGTTGGACTCTTTTCATGGGGGGCCCACTAATGGTATCCGTAGGAATAGAAAAATATTCTGGTAGGGTTGCACATGTATGCTTGTATTTATTCCTAGGGGTGTCCACGGGGTTGAATAATATAAGTTATTCAAACAATTATTCTAAAGCAGGTTCCGGTGTATCCATGACTCACCACTTTCTAAAAAAATGTATTATCGGATTCATCAGTGTTCATTCGTTTTCGGATGGTTGACATCTCAAGATTGTTTTCATATATGTTTGTTCATCGGTCTCATCGGTGTTCATTCGTTTTCGGATGGTTCTTTGTTTCGTTCATGAGCCCACACGCATCAAGCGCAAGCAAGAATCCATACATGCACAAAAATTATTCCAACAATTATTCGGAGGGGCGTCCACTCTTACTCCACAATTATTCTGAGAGGCTTGATGACCTCAAGGACGCCTTGAAATATTATTCCTACCCCAGAGGCTCAAGAATTATTCTGAGGGACCATACACATGCTCTCCCAGACCCCCCCCTCAACCTAGTCATGGAAAATTCTTCGAGGTCAATATTATTCCAACAAATTATTCCAGAAGGTCAGGGGACCCTCAGAATAATACGTACTTTAATGAGCGGCCCATCTCTTTTCGCTGCACGCAGCACAGGCAAGTCTTTGCCGACACGGTGTCGCAGCAAGTTGGGAATGCCAAGGCTCTGGCTGCTCACGCGAGTATGGACAATTTTCTTGCTGCCGTCTGTCTGTGCCAGCGTTCCTTTCAAGTAGCCCGGAGCCCATCGGTCCACCATGAGACTACAGCACAGCAAAGGATGGTAACCTTCGTGCCTTTGTACTACCTGCGAGTGCCATCGCCAGCAAATCCGAGCCGAACTTCCCAGGCCGAACGTCCGTGGAGACGACCGAGAGGTCGCGGTCGATTCTCGACCGGGCAATCGAATTCAGGGGTCGGTGGAAGAGCGTATGTGACTCGCGGCATCTGCTCTTGTGATGACTGGCGAGCTGGCACAACATCTGCCTCTTTCAAGTATTTGAAGAGTCTGCTGGATTCTACTCGAGTCTACCTGAGTCTACTCCCAGGTGTGTGGCCAAACAACGTGCTGGGGTGTTGGGGGACCAACTCCAGACAATCAGCGGGTCTTTGGGGTGCAGCCATGAAACTTCGTGCAGCCAAGGAGTCTTGGGGGCCTACAGTCTCCTGATTGAAGCAGCACATATATATCATATGATATGTAAAACACCCAAAAAAAGGGACATATGTTACAGTAGCGTTACAGTAGTTTCAGATGGCACAAACCGCAAGAAGATACTGTATCCTTTAGACACCTTGAGGGAGTGTGCCATCCACTCTGAAACCACTATAGAAATACTACAAGATGGAACACTGAACGCGGAACACCCGGAACATCCATGAACACTGAAACAGCAACACTGGTCCTACTCAAGTCTACTCCTCCTTTTGTGCCAACATTCGCTGTTCTCCAATCAATCTGCAGTGCTTTTTCCAGAGAAAAATCCAACAGTGGGTTTTATTCGGCCCATCCCTTCCGCCGACAGCAGAACGCCCCTTTACCGAGGCGCGGGGCGAAAGCGCGCGCGGCCCGGCGGAGTGCCTAGACGATAGGCGGCCCGGTTGTGCCGCCCGCATCCGCTGGGCGGCGTGCGGTGTGGTGCCTTGATTGTCCCCAAACACTGCCGGGTGATTTACAACATGTCATCGGTCAACAAAACAACAGATCTGGGACCTGGGATGAAAAATGCTGGAGGAACAAACAATGCATTGCAAATGGTGACATTGTAGATCTCTAAACTTGGGCACCCCTCAAAGCATTAATTATATATACTCAAAACATGGCCAAGTATCCAGCCCTTTGCTCCACTGTAAGCCTCCATCACTCGGTCACATCACTGGCAACCCTAGATTTTGATTTCCAAACATCGATGTGCAAATGGTTTGTATCCAAACAGCAAAAAAACAGCTGCAAATGATTGCAAATGCACAGCTGCTTGCCTTCCGTCTCTCTCTTTCTTTGGCCCTACACCTGGTGTACACCCTACCGTATGTTTGAAGGAGTCGTGCGACGTGTTGAAGTATCGGCTGCTGCATTCATCCATCGCACCTGGTGAAAAAAAATGAATGTAAAGACTTGTTCCTGTCTTGCTCATCCTCACCCACAACCGGCTAAAGGTCTTGAGAACATCAGGCTAGCATCGAATTGTGCACGTCTTGCCGAAACCCATGCATCTCCATGCAAGCCTCCAGGATTGCAAGTTGCAACCTCTTTGCTTCAACTGAATGCTCTCGAGGAACAAGAAGCTACTACTGGCATCGCTACTAGGGACAAGGACGCTACTAGGGGCTCCTGGCCTTACTACTAGGGAACAAGAAGCTACTAGGGGCTCCTGGCCTTACTAATAGGAACAAGAAGCTACTAGGGGCTCCTGGCCTTACTACTAGGAACAAGAAGCTACTAGGGGCTCCTGGCCTTACTACTAGGAACAAGAAGCTACTAGGGGCTCCTGGCCTTACTACTAGGAACAAGAAGCTACTGGGGGCTCCTGGCCTTACTACTAGGAACAAGAAGCTACTAGGGGCTCGTGGCCTTACTACTAGGAACAAGAAGCTACTGGGGGCTCCTGGCCTTACTACTAGGAGCAAGAAGCTACTAGGGGCTCCTGGCCTTACTACTAGGAGCAAGAAGCTACTAGGGGCTCCTGGCCTTACTACTAGGAACAAGAAGCTACTAGGGGCTCCTGGCCTTACTACTAGGAACAAGAAGCTAGGGGCTCCTGGCCGCTACTAGGAGCAAGGACGCTACTGAGAATCGAACTTCGCTGGCGGCTCCACGGAGCACATGGGACGGAGGCCCGACGATGAAACCGTCATGCGAAATGCAGGGCCTGAAATGCGGGGCTGTACGAGTTTGTTTGGTCCCAAACGGTTGGGTCGTCGTGATGGAAGGACTCACGATACTCGCCCTTCAAGTCAGCAACAAATCCTGCTTCAGGTCCACTAGCCCTCGGACTTGTCCAACCAAGACTCAGAAGTTACTCCTTGCACTTCTCAAACCAACATAACATGGACATGGAAAGGTTACCGCAATCATTCCATACGACTGTTATTCTTATATTGAGGATCCAACTGCACGCTCAAACAGTTGTATCTTCTGCAAACACCTTGTTGACATCCCGAACCTTAACTGATCCCTAGCCTAGGGATAGAAAATGATTGTGGTTAAAAT